GATCTCACTGTAATTCAAATTATTTAAAGTTGCAAGCAGCACTGATGATTAAACCGAAGTATCATTTTTCTGTTAAAAATCATTACATTTTGTTTTCTGCTTATATTGCTGCTTTAGATACTTCAGCTGCAGTTTTCTTTATTTCCTCCCTGCCTAGAGGAAACTTACTTTCTTGGCCTGTGAACTTAGACATTCCTGAAAACAAATTTGGGAGAAATGATTATGCTAGTGTTCTTTGTTTTCCATTCCCCCTTCCCTCTAGTCTACCAAGTGATTTTTTTTTTTTTTTTTTTTTTTTAAAGTGGAGACTTAATGCACCCTGATGTATGCCTATGCTGGGGTTTTTTGAGCTAGGTTTAAACCAGCTTGCTTGGGGATGAGGAAGAGAATAGCAGCAGTCATTCAGAGCAAGATGCAGGCTGGTGGGGAAGGTAATTGTCAGATGTATATGAGAATGCGTTTTGGCAGTTATGCTTTTTAACTTCGTCACGACAAAAGCCTGCCTGTATTTCAAGGTCTTAGATGTTTGTATTGAGCAAAAGAGAGGAACCTGGGGAGGCTGTTCAAATTAATTAGACGTTAGAATTGTTTTCTCAGGGCTTAAAGTTGTTGCTGGAAAGATATTTATGTTAGAAATTCCTTCCCTGACAGGTACAAATAAACATTTATTGTATGTGATCGTAAAGAGAGATGCCCCTGCAAGCTTTGGCATTTCATCTTGTACACGGAGCAAAAGTGTGGGAGCCCAGTGTGCTGCTTGCAATTCCTAGGTCTGAAAAATGTTTACTTGTTAGTAACCTGCAGTTACCATCTTCTGGATGCAGGCTGTAGGGGAAAGTCTACGGTGATTTAGGTGCGTTTGCTGTTTTGCAGATGCAGAAACTGGGATATGGTCAAGTGACACGAGCTGGTGGAAAGCAGAGTGCAATGCTGTCTTCAATCTGTACACTCTGATTTCAAGACGTATCTTTTAATGCCGTTACTTACCAATAAGCATTGTAGGACTTGGTCTGCTTACGCATAGGGTTCTGAAAAGTTCTGGCAGACTTCCCTACTCTGGTTTTAGGATGTCACTGTGCCAGTGAAGTACCAGATGAAAATGACAATGTTCTGTGACTTGACTGAACTTAATTCCCATAAGCTTTCTAAGGAAGTGGGCTTTGAGCTAAGGCACCCGTATGCAGGCTGAAGCAGCTATGTGCAGTTACAAGCATCCTGCTGCTGCTTCTGACAACTGCAGAAGGGGTAGAGAGGATCGATCTCCCACCTGAGCAGCAGCCAAGCCTGCCACAACTTCAGTGTTGACTGTGGCAGGTCTCAGTTGAAGATACTTACTGTAATGTCATTTTCCAAGAGTGAATTACATAGCTCCAAGTTTTTGCAGTGGTAAAGAAATGGGCCAAAACGGGGAGATTTCTAACTTGATCTTCTTCATATAGCTGATGATGATGCCATGGGGCTTTTGTAGACCAATTCCTCCTCCAAAACCATCCAGGAGGCAGTTCCAGCCCACATCCTGCAAGGGACGGCTCTTTGTTCTAGGTGACAGACAGCTTTGTTGTTTGGTGGGTGGGTGGTTGGCTTTATTAGGACTTGGCTAAGAATTTCAGTTCATCTTGTCCTGGTGCAGAGTTTAGAGTCTGTGTCTTCAAACCAGCATTAGTTTGGGAAGTATGTCCCCACTACAGAGCCCTACTTGTGTCAGACTTGACCTAATGCTGCACTAGCTTAGGTGGCACACCAAGCAGGCAAGATGGTGTTTGTTTCATTTATATGATCTCTTTTCAACTCGACTGTCGGCCTGTCCCAGCAGATAAGTATCTGCACTAGAGTGAACACACTGCATGTTTTTGGTCTGTCATTTCAGCTCATGGTAAGAGCATCACCATGTACCACTGACTCCTGATTTTAATAACTGCGTAGCTCAGACCTTTTGAAATAGGTTGGCACACCTTCAGGCAAAGAACAAACCCATTCAAATGTATGTATAAAAAAAGAAGGGGGGAGGGGGGGGCGGGGAAAGTAACACCAGAATTTTTCACTCCTTGCCTTACCAATGAATCCACTTTGTGTAGCATTACACACTGATGTTTATATAGCCTGCTTTGTTTTCATTTGGGGATGTTCAAAGGGGACTTCAGTGTTGTAGTGAAATGTGGGAGATGTGCATGAACAGCTGACTGGAAGTTCAAAGGCAGTTGTATGGAATGAAAGCTGGTTTATTTTCCACATGCCAAGAATCAATTTTGTTTTATTTAGATGAAACCAGATTATGGCATTGAAAACCCAAGTGTATTAACATTCTTACATAAAGCAAGTTGCGAAGTGATGTTACAGTTAAACTGATTGTTAATTTTACAAATAGTTGTGCTGCATATTTTCTTAAGACTCCAGGAAAGTTTTGGGGAGTTTTCATTCTGAGGGCAAAATAAAGCAGTAAATGAGTTAGGAATGAAGATACTGAACATGGGGGTTTTCTTCACATGAGAGCATGCTTAAAATTGATTAAATATTTGCTTTCAAGCATTTAATCTTCATCTTTGAGGCACAGACATGCTACCTCTGTCTTTCTCCTTAGGGCTTGTTGTAAAACTCTATTCAAACCTTTGTGATGCCTTACACAGTGGGTAATGCTATGGAGGATCAGCATCCCTCTTTTGTTGAGGTCCTGCTTTTGTCCTGTTGTTCACTTGACATAGCCAGAAAGAAGGGCTAATGGTTGCTGAATAGTAGCTTGTGATGAATTTGAGCATTGGGCTTTTCAAACCGTGAGCCTTTCGCTGTCATTGCTGACAATCTACTGCTGCTATGCTGTTTAAAAAACGAAACAAAATGCCACAAAAAAAAAAAAAAAATCCCTGTTCTGTGCATCTGGGAAAATAAAATGGAATCTCTGTTGGTTTTATTATTACTGAAAAAAAATAAGAAAATTGGATTGTTTTGTAAGGAAGATGGGATTTTTCCATTTAGGTATTTTAAATTTTACTCTGTGGCATGTTCAAACAGTGATTTATAAAAGGTCTGGGATTAAAAAAGAAAAAGCTTGGTGGATTTTGTAATCTTTCTGACCTTTCTCTGCTCTGCAAAGGTAAACACATAAAACAACAACTGAAATACAGTTAGAAAGTGGGGGGAAGCTACAGTCTCCTTGCGTCCCAGAACAGAGTACCTGTGTTTGCACTAATACAGATTAGTCCCATGTGAACATCTTAAGGTCTGCCTAGGGACCTACCTTATCTGTAACTCTCTAATTCCAGGTAGTTGATTACCCTGAGATGATTTCGGGCTTTATTGGGCATGGCATTTGGAGTGAATTGCTGCAAGAGTGGAAAGTGGTTAGGAGGCGCTACCCTGGGGAAAAGGGGGATTGTAGGGATGGGAGAGTTTCTCTTAGGAGCAGGCACTAATGAGAGCAGCTATGAAGCCAGAAAAAAAAAAAAAAAAAAAAAAACCCCAAGGCCAAAACAAAACACAGTGCAAGCTTCTTGAGGAACAGCTGTAGAGTTTCTCTTTATTTGAACCGGGCCCTGGGAGATTCCTTTTGGGAAGGAAAGTGCTAAGACTTGTTATCCTATTTTTGTGAAAGCAGCCTTTCAAAAAGAAGTCACATTTAGCATTTTGCTTTGGTTACCTATGAAAAATACATAGCCTGTTTGGCAGACTTTGCACTCAAATAACTTCTGTTGGTGTGATATGATGTGTTAGATTTACAGTGGTGGACCTGCATTCTCTATTCCTCATTTCTCCTGCTATTAAATTCCTTATGCTGTTCTCTCCCAAAGATTGCACTTGTATCAGCTTAAATACGCAGTGGGTCTATGCATCGCATATTCCTAGATGGGTGACAAAGAGGAGGCATGAACAAATGTCTAGCGTGATCGTGCATTTACTATGGGGTTTGTGTCTGGTAGGCAGAGCTGCATCTGCAGAGGATGCTGTAACAGATGACCCCCATCCGCTCTATGGTATCTGAGATCTGTCCTTTTGAGCACGGGAATGGGAAAAGCACACCTGAGATGCCTGTATTAACTTTGTTTGCAAAAGTAAATTATGCTTTTCAGTGCACCACTTTGGTAGGACAGTTTTTTTTGCTTGTCTGCTGGATGCTGTACCACATCGTTCTTCAGGAGTATTTTGCTACTAAGGCTTAAACCATTGAAATCCTCCTTCAGTATGTTGAAGTTTTCAGTATTTTCCTTCAGTAAGAATGTAGGCATAGCTTCAAGCTGTTCTTTAAAACTGTTGCCACAGGATGGGGCTGTTGCACTGCCCAAATATGATCTTGTCATTTGGAAGAACTGCAACTGAGCACTGTTGTCAGTGCTAACCGAAAACTACGCTCCTGTTGCTTTTCTTATTCACCAGTCTGTGTAGTGTGGCCTCAGTTTATCCACTTTCAAGAGGTAGGAAATTTGGAGTAAGGTGTTGTTGGCTTTGCTGAGTGTAGATCAACTTTGTTTCTTTTAGAGGCAGCTTTACACCATATGACAAGCCCAGGTAGTGAGGTAATAATCCACGTAAAGGGGATTTGTTTCAAGTATCGCAGAACATGTTAAATATTAAATTTGGGGGTTTTTAAGCCTTTATTAAATCCATATTTGTGTTTTAGAAACATGCCAAGAAGTGTTCTAATGAAGCAGCACCTGGGGGTTAATAAATGATATCATGAATCCATTCTGATTGCCAAGAAAGATTTTAATAAAGGAAGCCATGCCCAGGGTTGACTGTTTCATCCATGAGGAATAATTGTTTTGTTTCCATATTTCTTTTATTGGTTGGTTAAAGCAAGTTTGCTTATTAGCATCAAGTCATGTATGAGTGTCCTGTGTGTTTCTGTGTACCATTTGCATAAAGAGCTGCCTCTCAGTAGGTCTGCAAGTGCAAATTGCAAGGATGTGAGAGGTGTTATTTTGATTGCATAAAGAGCTTCCATCTTTTACTGCCTTTCACATTCACCTCCTCTCCCTCTGTTCCCTTTTCTCCTCCCCTCAAACATTCAGGGTGAAGTGAAGTCTGAAGAGAGGCCAGAATGGAATATACTGCGTGATGACTTCATGATGGGAGCATCTATGAAAGACTGGGACAAGGAAAGCGATGCAGAGGGCAATACTGAACAAGGAGGTGGTCTGAAACAAGAAGATGAGAGTGACTGAATGGAACTGAAAACCATTCAAGATAATGTTTTATCTTCTTAACTTTGTTTGGATAGAAAGTCAGCATTCTGTGAATGTACAATGCTTGGAGGATATCTCTCTTTTTAAAAAAAAAAAAAAGAAAAGACTTGCACAACTTTGGAGTGTTTTCTCCTTCATGTCAAACTTTTATTTAATATAGCTTCATTTGCTATACTGAAATCCTGAAATATTTTCCAAAACATGTATAATTTTCAACATATTTCCAAAACATTTTGTACAGTCAAAATAGTGGCACCTGCCCAATAAAAGAAAGATTTTGCCAAGGTCATTAAAAGTTTATACATTAGTCATGGCAATTGATGTATTAGTGTGCCTGCATTTCCAAATCAGTGTTGCACTTTGAAAAATTGTTAGCAATTCGCAATAGAAATGGCTTACAATAAACACAGAAATGCCATCACCTTGTAAAGTTATCGGACTCCTATAGAGTCTTTACTACTTTGGCCAGGAAAGGTTTTGTAGATAATAAAGAAAAGTAAGCATTAATGTGATAGTTCTGGTCTTGGAGCATTGGTTTGATTGGAGACAACTCTGGAAACATAATTGTAAAAGAGAGACTTGACCCTACTGATTGGCTTTTATTTTTTATATATATATATATATGTATGTTTTTTTTCCGTTGCAAGTCTGAAGTTTTATAAGCTAAGAGACTAGTAGGAGAGGAAAGGACAGTCCTTGCTATTGTTTTTGGTGGAGGAGGGAGGGCTTTTCTAGCAATACCACATCAAATTGTATTCAGTGTTGCTTCATTTGCAGTTCTGGTATTCTGGCCTTTTCCTGTAAGGAGCCAGACAGCCGAGATACATCCTGTGGGTTTAGGCAACTATAATGCTAATTCCTCAGGTCTGTAAAGGGTCAAACAAAACCTCTTCCTCTTAGGTGTCTACTGTAACGGTACCAAATTTTGGAAGACATACGTCAGCATAAATCTCTTTGGCTTTATTTAAGCTACAGCGATTTCTCGTAATTAGTTGTTTGGTTGCAAAGGTGCAGAAGCTAGCATGCATAATAAGAATATATGCTATATAAGCATATGCATACAGAAGGAAGTGCATTGTGATTAAGGTGTTTTAAATGAGAGGCTGGGGTTGAATTCTGCTGCCTTCACTGTTCCAGATTTGCTGGCTGATGCTGTGTCGTTTGTTTAACTTTGCTGTCGCGTTTGCTATGAGAATAAAATGCCTTGGGGCCTATTAATTGATACTTAAAATACATAGTGCTATTCTGTCTGGTTTTACAGATGTCATGCATGCAAACCTTTCTTTGTACCTGCTTATATGCAAGATATGATTAGGAACGACATTCAGACTTTCAGTCTTCAGCATTGGAATGCGCGGTAGGACAGTGGATTCAGATTTTCCTAATGAAGGCATTGAGGAGGGGAGGGGGGATTGAACTTTGTGTATACTGCAGCATAAAAAATATACATACAAAATGGCAGAGAAACCCATCCTAACAACTGGCAATGGTTGTGTTATCCCTAGCCTATTCATCTGGTATATATTGTAGCATAATTCTTTGAGGACAACTCAAAGCTAACAGCAGAAATGTTTAGATTTTCAAGCTGTTTTGAGTGTTAAACATATTAGATATCTGAGGAGACATTAGTTTGCGGCCTGATATTTATTATCGCAAATGAAGGCATACACCCAAAATATCAAGTGGCAAAACCACAAAAGTTTGACATATGGTTATCCCGGCTTCTGAAGGTTAGACATCTGTATAGCTCTTCAGCGAGAGCTGGCATCTCATTAGTGCAACACAAAAATATACTACAATGAATTTTGAGTCTATGAAGCAGCATAATAATCTGATCTGATATTCCTTCCTTTCTGCAGAGTTCAGTTACTTTGTGTGGAAAAATTGTGTCAGCAGCCTTAAACCTACAGTTGTTCTCTACTTTGATATCACCAGTTTTTGAGATCAAACTTTTGGAAAACAATCACATTTTTCTTAGGAACTATGACATCCTGCGGTGATGATTAAAAATTTTAAAATACTTTGAGAATGCTTCTACAATACTTGGGTATTTATGAGTTTTATTGTAATTTTATGTTGTACTTTAATGTCTTGACTAAAGCACTGAAGTGTCACTTGTGTATTTAAGAAAAACGTGGAATATATCCCTACTGCTAAAAATATCTGGAGCTGCTGTTTCATTCAGAGCACATAGCAGTACTTTTTGCCTATAGGTGGAGAGCACTTCTTGCCTTTTAAGAGGCATAATACTCAGATTTTTCTGTATATTGGATAGTTTTTAAGTTTTGATACTGTACCTTGCCTTTGCCTTGTCCTTTAGTTGTGCCATATGCAGAGAAATTCCTAGAATAATTTAAATTGGTAACTACCTCCAAAAGAGAAATAAGCTTGAGACTCTTATGACAAGTTTTGTTTTAATTGATTAGCAATTCAAAAGAAGAGCTAAACCCTGTTTGGCCCAGACACCTTCCAGTCTCCTCTCTCAGCTGTGGGATCAGCTGCCCTACCTGCCTCCCTACCCGCTTTTTCAGTTACGTTCTTCCTTTTCGATAGCTACCAAGAACAACCTCCAGCGGCTCTTCTTAGCCATCAGAGTGCTCAGTCTGTTCTGCCTGCTCCCAGGAATATCTGCTTAAGCAAAGCTGTGCTGCTGCCCTTCATTCCAGAGAGCATGAATCATCCCAACTTTGTATATTTCTGTACCTATCTATATAAAGCCAATAAGGATGGGGTGGTTCCAGTTTTGTTAGGCTTCAAGCCAACTCCAGAGTTTGTAGAGTTTAATATTCTATGGATTGCATGCAAAGCAACAAAGTTTTGTTTAATAAGAGAAGGCACAGGGTCAGCTCTTCTCATGTCTCTCATCCTCTGGTTTAATTTCTCTTCACATTATTTGTGCTAATTTTTTTCAGCAAGAAAAGCTTGAGTTGGCTTATGGAGGGAAAAAAAAAGAAAAAAAACATCTTCTCCTTGCTTTTCTACAGCCTGCTGTTAGGGAAACACTTTGGGAGTGGTGGTGGAATATCCTTGTTGTGCCTGATGCTACTGTACACGGCGTCTTTCTTCCCTGCTAGAAGACGGAGAGAAGAGCTCCCACCTCTGCAGCTGCGAGGCAGGTTCTCCTGGGTTCACAAGTTGAGCAGAACAAGAGAGCTCGAAGCTGCTGCCTGGGGCCCCTGCTGCTGCTTTCTAGTGGAGATAGGGCTCTTTTTTTTGGTGTGTGTTTTGTTTTAGAGAGAAATGGAGTTGTTTGGAGGCCACAGAAGCATTTTGACTATTTGATGCTTCCAGAAGAAGGTGGTCTTTAAAGCCGCATCTGTTCAGAGCTGGCTCAGGAGCTGTCTCCAGGGAGGAAGGCAGAAGTCATCTGGCACACAACACTGCACAACTTAAAATGACAGACTCCTCATTCTTATGAAATGAGTCCTGGCATAGTTAATATCCACACAGAGCAGTCATCAGTGGTGTTCACTTCCAGCCCCAGCAAATTGCTCAATGATTTCTTCAAGACTTGCTGAGGTAAGGAGTAAGAGGGCCAGGAGAAGGCTTGAAGTAGCGAAGACTCTTAGGATCTTGTTAAATAGATAGGATCCTAATGCTCAATAAGACATTAGACTTAAACTGTAGGACCTCAGTGGCAGACACTGGAGACCGAGCAAGTTCTTGGTTAACAGATGGTGGAAGACTGTCGATATCATTTACTGTTATTCTAAAGCAGTGGCTTTTAACCTCATGTCAGTATGTAGACCTCAAAGGTTTCACCTCTGTAGATGACTTAGCAGGTAAGGGCTTTTCCTTAATCATTCTTTTTCAGACTGGTAGGGATGGCTGATGTTTCTTAGACAAAGCATTTTGTTTACAAATGCATCTTTTTAATTGCTTTTCTGTCTTAAGGGACACGTTGAAATAAAACTCGAGTCAAAACCGAATAGCTTCAACACTAAAGACACTTGTGTTTGTGTAATGTTTCATCCTTTGAAATTATTTTGTTTTGTTTAAATCCATGCATTTAATCTATTGGATATCAAATTGTAAAATGAATTAGGACACTTTTGTCAATCCTTCAGATATGAGCGCAAAAGGCTTCCGAGAGGCACTTTGGAAGGTGATTTTACAAATGCTCATAAAAAAGCACTATTTCTTCACAGTGCCTTGGTTGTTTCAATAGCCCATTCTTTCATGCCAGTGTGTGAACTTTTTGAGCGTTATTCTGCAACATTTTAAGTGTTTCTCAGTTCTGTTTTCAGTATATGTTGTGTTAATTGTGATTAACTGCTGACCAGGATCAGACTTGCACCGAGGTTTGATACCACTAGGATTTCTGGCAGACATAAGCGTTCTCAGAAGTAGCTAAATAACGAATAGAAAGAGTTCACTTAAAAGATACACTGGTTACACTTCTTATCAGAAACTTAATGCATAGTCTAGAAATGGTTAAATATGCAACCTGCTGATGTTATGTACTAATCAGGTCTTTAAGTAACGTCTATTACAGGCATATATGATCACAAGTGGAAGGTAACAGAGGGTTGTTTGCCATAGTTTTAAAACCTGTTTGAATACTGAAGTACTTAAAGATTCCACTAGCCATTCCTGAGCCCTTTTTAAACTGCATTATGAATGTAATCCTGGAGATTGCGGCTGAGGGCCCTTGGCTATTCAATTGCTTTGTTGCTTTTAACTTTGGTTTTCTATCCCAGTTAATGACATGGTCATTCTTGTTCAGAATGGAAATACGTGCAAATCTTCTTCATCCAGAAAAATGGTAATGAAAAGCTTTCTTGATTATGTGGATGTTTGGTTTTGATTATTGTCTTGAATATTTACTGCATTGACTTTCAAGTTGTGTATGGTTTATCTGAAGAGGATTTTCTTTGTTTTTCAAGCGATCCACATATTGCAAAGTTTGTGGGCAGTGGTGTATTGGAAGCGTAGGAAGTCACGGGTAGAAATACACCTGCGCTTCATTCCCAGCTCTGCCACTAGCAGAGATTTTGAAGAGCATACTTTTGAAGCAGCCTTATACTTAGGGTATCCTATGTCCAGGGACAAACACTGCTTGGATCCATTTCAGGAAGGGTGCCT